TCCTTCCTTCCTTCCTTCCTTCCTCCCTCCCTCCCTCCCTCCCTCTCCAGTTTGTCAATGTTCTTCTTAAAATGTGGTGCCTGAAACTGTATATAATACTCTAGATGTGGTCTGACCATGGCAAAGTACGCTGGGACTATCATGTCCCTTGTTTTTCGACATCACTTGCCTTCCTCGGTTACCTTCCTGGGTTGTCCCCTAGCCTCCAGGAAAGGACTGAGGACTTGGGAGCAGCTTAATAAATCCATACTGATGGATTCCTCTGTCTCTCCACCCTCCTTTTGTTTCTAGTTCCCACTCCCCAGAGTCTGCAGCTACTCAAAAGCACAGAGGACTCTCTGCTGGTGCATTGGGATCCAGAAGTGGATGTAGACCATTACCTGCTCAGCTACTATCCCCTGGGGGTGGATACTTCAATGAAGCAGGTTAAAGTCCCCAAAGATCAGCTAAGTTATGACATTCACAACCTGCAGCCCAGCACCAAGTACATTATCAACTTACGCAATGTGAAAAAGGGGATTTCCAGTAACCCACAGCATCTGCTGGCCTCTACAGGTAAGGGACATAGGGATGACAGGCCATGAGAAGACCCTCACTCTGCCCTCTACCCCCGAACCAGATGAAAAATCATCCAAACCATATCTTTGCATCTGTTAGCAGCCGACAAAGTAAGTGCTGGATAGATACAGACAGACAGACAGACAGACGGACAGATAAGACATTTATTAAGCCCTTACTATGTGTCAGGCACTGGTCAATTACCCTTAGATCAATATAGATTTTACTATCTGGCTCCCACATTTAGGCAGTTGAGTGTCCTGACCTGTGCCTAAATTCCAAGGTAGTTCTACAGCAGGGGTTCTTAACCTGGGATCTATGAACTTGTTTTAAAAGGTATTTTGATAAATGCATTTCAAGATAATTGTTTTCTGTTGTATTCCTCTGTATCTTATTTTATGCATTTAGAAACATTATTCTGAGAAGGGTACATAGTTTTCACCAGAATGCCAGAGTGATCCATGACAGTGTAAAGGTTGCCTCTGGGACTAACTTGTGAGGTTTTGAATTGGGTAAGCCTTGGAAAGCCTGTAGCATCTTAATGTTGGGAGGGCAAGGGAGGTGGGATTTGTTCCCTACAACTTACCAGCTTCCCATACCCAATGAAACTTCTTGGAGTACCTTGAGATCCCCAAGGGATCTTAGAACATCAAACCCCAGATCCTATGCCCTCAACTTCTTGAGTGACTGTGGCCTTCTTGGGTCCTCCTCAGTTGTGGTTTGGTACTGGAGGGCCCAAGCAGCTCCTGAGTCACACCTAGATTTGAGGTCAAAGTTCAGCCACCCCATGCATAACACTGTTAGGCAGAAGACTTAAGTGCTGCCTAATTTGACTTACTTCAAGGATTTATGAAGGCAATCAAGGTAGGCATGACCACAGGAGACCAACCATTATTGGCCTTGGTAGATAGTCTTCATGAGTTCTTGAGACTGAAAAATTCTTCATCTGATCACCAGCCTTCTCCAAACTTAATTAGGCTGGTCCTCAGATACCAGGCACAGTCTGTTGCTAGGCCAAAGCCCAAAACCTGTCCAGTTTGGTAAGACTTACCAGAGCTTATGCTTAGCTGGCAGAGCTTTACAGGGTCATTGTCATGTCACCATGACTCAATGAGGCATCCTAGCATGAATCTTACCTTGGGAGAAAAAAGGAAAAATAAGCATTGAGTGACTTGGCAACCCCTGGTGTGGAATTTGTTCTTCTCAGTTACTACAAATTATTAACAAGAAAGAGGACTGGAGATTCAAGTGACTCATCTTCCTAGGTGGCAATCAATTGATTGATAAGCATTTATTAAGCACCTACTGTGTGATAAGCACTGTAGTGGGTGCTGAGAATACAAAAGAAAAAGATGAAGTAGTTCCTGCCCTCAAGGAGTTTATATTCTATTGGGGAGACATATAAAAGTACATACATATATTTATATTTGTATATATACACATATGTGTATATACATATATACATACATGTATATACACAGTGTATGCATACACACATATGTACTCATATAAATGTACATATATATAAACCCATATGTATTATATGTATATGAAAAATACAAAGTCAACAAGGAAAGAGTACTAGTGGTTGGAAAGGTCAGGAAAACCTCATGTTGAGCCAAGTTCTGAAGGAAACTGGGAATTCCAAGAAGCAGAGGAGAGGAAGGACTGTGTTCCTGGCATAGGGGACAGCTTGTGCAGAGATAAGGAGATAGAAAGTGGGATTTCATTTTGAGAGGAACAGAAAAAAGTTCCAGTTAGGCTGTAGAACACTTGAAGGGGAGCAATTTCTAATAAATAAGACTTAGAAAGGTAGGTTAGAGCCAAGTTCTAAAGGACTTGAACAATATAGTCCATTCTATCATGGAAAGAACACAAACTGTGAAGTCAGAGGATCTGGGTTAGATCCTGTCTCTTATTCTTATGCCTTGTGTGACCTTAGGTAAGTCATTCGACCTCAGTTCCTTCTTCATCTGTACATTGAGGGGGTTGGACTGTATGACTTCTGAGGTCCCTTCCAATTCTAAATATCATTTTCTGGTTATGTGGGAATGGACTGAAGAGGGAGAGACTTGAGGAAGGCAGCTTGAATTGGAGGCTAATTCAATATTATTTATAACAATAATAATAGCTAGCATTTATATGGTGCTTAAAGCTCTTTACATACATTATCTCATATGATTCTTGCAACAACCTTGTGAGGCAGGTGTTATTATTATACCATTTTACAGAAGAGGAAACTGAGGGTGAGAAAGACTAGTCACTTACCCTGGAAGTAAGTCAAGATGAAGGGAGAAGCCTGTTATTATGCCCCCCCCCTTGAAATAGCTAGGAGATAACAAAGTGTTCGTTTAAGAATGATTAAACAGCATCTTAAAACTGTTTGGTTGCTATCCTTGGTTTCAGGCAGAGTAGGTGGCACTTCGACCATTTTCAACTAATGAGTAGCAATCTATTTCTCAAAGATCTTAAGAGGAAGAAGGTTTAAGTAATCTTCCTTGCTCCAAAAACTCATAAAATTCCCTAACCATGAAATTTGTCTTTATGTCTCTCCTGATTCAAGTTAAGCCCATTTTCTCTGGTTTTGTCCTCAGGGAGAATTTGGCCTGGGAGTCACTTTTTCTAAAATGTTTTTAAATATAATTATTAAGTTTCTGCTATCCTGTTTGAAAAATCATCCCAATTTCTTCAAACTTATCCTTCTTTCATAACCTTTTTCATTAGTCTTCCCTGGAATCATCTCAAGTTTTTCCCCCTTAGGTCAAATCTCTAAGAAAAAATTTTTACATAAAAATTATTTATATATTTTTTATGTCACCTTAATTTCTAATACATCTTTCCCTCTACCCTGACTTGGTGAACCATTCTATGTAATAAACAACAACAAAAGAGGAAAAAAACAGTTTAGCAAAAGTTACTGATTCTGACAGTATATGTCATGTTCTAAACCCATACTCTCCTACCTCTGTGAAGAAAGGAAGGAATTATATTTTCTTCTCATCTCTTCTGCATTTTTTACTCCCACCTCCAATCAATTGCCAAATCTTGCATCTCTGGCATCCATCTCCTCTCCACTTTCTCAGCAACCATCCATGTTCAGGCCTTCATTATCCCTAGTCCAGGCTATTTTAATCGTCTTCTAATTGCTTGTCGGCCACCAGGGCCTTCTCCTTTCAATCCAGCCTATCAAAGTGTTATTTCTAAAGCATCTGACGATGTCACTCTCCTATTCAAGAAGCCTTGACTTTGCACAGCCCTCCTTCACTTAAATCCAATTCACTTGTGTGTCATGGCATCTCCTCCCTTGATGTCATGGTCCTTTTCGAGGACAAAGGACAAACAGCAGCAGCCTCTAGGATAAAATAAAAAGTCTTCTGTTTGGTTTTTGAAGCCCTTCATAATGTAGTCAGACAGTATGTTATTGAGTATACCTTCAGAGTTCAGAAGGCCTGGGTTCAAATCCTATCACTGACGCGTGTTGTTTGTATGACCATGATCAGAGAAGGTGCTAATCTACATTTGCAGAAGGAGTGTCCTCATTGGGAGTTAGCTACAGCAGCAATTCTCAAATTTTTTGGACTTAGGACTCCTTTGCATTCTTAAAAACTGTTGAGGATCTTCCCCCAAGAGTTTTTGTTTATGTGAATCGTATCCATCAATTTCTATTAGATCTAATCAGATCAACAGCTAATTTGAAATTAAGACATCTTCGTATTATTATGAAAATAATTTTGACCTCAACTGTCCTGTTTGTTACATCCTATCTCTGGCTTCTCTGCTTTGTCAAAGGTTGGCCTCCATGGTTGGAATACACTCTCTTCTCATATCTAGTAGAATCCCTGGTTTCCTCCCAAGCTCAGCTCAAGCTCTGTCTCTTATAGGAAGCCCATCTCAATGTCCCTGTTGTTAGTGTTGCCCTTCCCTATGACTTTGTATGTATTTTGTATTTAATTTTCTATATACATATTGTTTTCTGCCTTGCACAATGTCTGGCAGATAGCACTTGGTAAATGCTTATTGACTGACTGACTGAATAAATGAATGAATGAATGAAGAAGGGAACCGGGGAAGGCTTGGGGACTTGTGTTACAATTTAAAGAATTGACAGAAATTCAGCAGATGAAGAGGGGGATAGGTATCAGGGTAAGCAAAGGCAATTGGAACAGGGAAGTAAGAGACTTGTGTGGGGAGCATAGAGTGCGTGGAGGAAAGAAATATGACATAAGAATAGGAAGATAGGCTGGTACAAGATTTGGAGGGTCTTGAATGCTAGGAAAATGAATTTGAACTTTATTCCTACTGTGGGAATTTTGAGCAGAGGTATAATATGACTCAATTTATGTAAATGAAAGATTATTATGGCAGTGATATGAGGAATGGATTGGTGGGGAGGATAGATAATGAAGTCTGGAAGACTATTACAATAGTACAGGCAGGTGATAATGAGGATTTTTATAAGGCTAGTGGCAGCCGAGTAAGGGAGAAATCCAAGAGATGTGGAGGTGGAGCCAATAGGACTTGGCAATTGATTGGTGATAGGTTCTTCTACCTTGGTAACCTTCGAGCAGAGGCCAACCTCTCACCAGGTATGTTAAACTAGGATTCCTTTTGGGTGTGGGTTGGAGTAAATGGCTACTGAGGTCCTTCCCAACCCTTAAATTCTGTGATTCTAGATATGCGGGTAAGGAGAAGTCAGGACTGCATATATGGACTTAATAGTCATGATATCGTTGTAATGAATTCAATAGACAAGGGAAAGGGTGCAGAGACTGAAGTGAAAAGGGCTAAGGACAGACCATTGGGAAACATATACATTAAAGGGTGGGGCAGAGAAAGAATGGTTAAAAGGGCAGAAGAACGAGGAGATGTGGTGTCTCTGCAATCAGAGGAGGGAGCATGGAGCTAGAGAGGGGGATCAACAGTTTCCAAAGCTCTGGAGAAGAAAAGGATAGTGAGGATTAGAAAAATGCCATTGGTAATAACAATTTTGGTAATGATCATTAGATCATAGGATGATAGGATTTGAGAGCTGAAAGGGGACTTAGAGGTCATGTAGCCCAACCCCCTCACTTTACATGTAGTACTACTACCCTAGCCCCCATTGCATGAAGGCCAGGTAGGTCACATTTCACAACTCCTCCTGGACTCTTTGATACCTTTAAAGGAAAAGGTTTTGGAGGGTGTCTATGATCTCTGCAAATGACTCCAGACTCCACTGATGGTGTTCCCCCAAATATAAGGGGTGGGTCCCTTGCATCCCGATTCCATTTAGCAACTTAACAATCATACTAGCTTTTACAAAGAAATATTTACTTTAAAGGTATAATCACAAATATACAGACTGACTCTCCCAATCTGTAGGAGGCAGAATCTCCTCCCTTTATACCACTTCACTCTCTGGGGATGGGCACGGGATTACGTTCATAGTTTAGCTCTGTTCCTATAGAGCACACTCCCAGTTCCAAATCCAAAACCTCCCTCTGGCTTGAGTTCCAGACACCCTGGCTTCACCAGGCTTCCCTGCCAGGCTAGCAGGCTGTACCATCCTGCCTATAGTCCTGGCTACCATGGCTTGGGCTCCCATGTCCAGTGGGATCACCACTGGCACCTGAAACTGAGAAAGACAAATGAAAGAAAATGGAAACAAACACCCCCAGACTCATTTCTTAAAGCCAGGGTAGAAGAGAGAGAGAGAACAGGGGAAAGAAGTCCTTCCCTTCTCACAGCTTTAATTCGTGACTCCTGGGCCTTGGGTGAGCTGTGACCTTCACTCTCTGGACACAGCAAGAAAGAGTGTGAGACAGAAAGAGATGGATTGTCTCAGTCTTACTCACTTTAAGATCACATCCTTTTCTGGGCTGTTCAGGTTCCATAACCCATCAAAGGAGGAGGGCCTCCATGTTAGGGAATCTAGACATTCTCAGGCAAGTCCCCTTAGAGACTCCCCCTATGTTAGATGATCTGGGTATGCTCCAAAAGCCCCATTACATACAAATGAGAAAGTGGAGGCACAGAAATATTGTTATTTGCCTACTATCACATGGACAATAAGAACTAGTGACCTTTTGGAGATATTTACAGTAGAGTGGGGGGGCAGAAGCTAGGTTGCAAAAGTTTGGGAAATGGGTAGTGAGGAAGTGGGGTGTATGCAACTTTTTCAAGAAATTTAGCAGTAAAGAGGGAGAAAGGAGATGGGATTATAGCTTGATGGAGTAGAAGATAAAGAGATGACTGTTTTAAGATTGTGGTGAGATGAGTGCATTTGTTAGAGGGTTGGGAAGAAGCCAGTGGAGGAGAAATGAAAGACAATCCCTGGGGAATGTTTTTGGAAAAGGCAGTAGGGATGGGACAGGAAGAGAAAGGAGGAAGAGAGAATGAGGGATCATGATGAGAAATGCTTGGAAATATAGGAGGTGGGGAGCTGAGGGAGTTCATGTGAAATTGCTTTAATCTTCTTAGTGAAGTAAGTAGAAGGCTAAATCATCTGTGTACTAAGTGTTGGGCTGTATTTGTGAGGGAAGGAAAATAATTGGCACAGCATCTGTGGGGCATGAAATGAGTCAATAAGGTTAAGACTGAAGGATGGTTGAGCCACAGTGAGAAGCCAATTGAAGCTATATAGCATAAGTTTATAGAGGGTGAAATCAGCTCAATTTTATGACTTTCTCTAGTGACATTCAGCATTCCTAGCAGAGGAGTGGGGAAATTTGATTATTCAGACTAGCAAGGGATGGGGCAAGGGATTAAAGGTGAGAACGAGGGCAAAGAATGAATTTAATGTTTGTTGTGGAATTTGAAATTATTCTGAGTCTGGGAGACCAGACAGTCCCAAGAGTGGCAAGATCTAAGATTTGACTCTTTACTTTTGCACAGAACCTTGTTAAACCTCCACATTAAAGGTTTGAGAAGAGGACAAGGAATAAGGAATTCCTAGAGAAGGATTGTTGCATGCATCCTGTGTGCCAAGAGTACATTTACTCTTTTGTTGTTGTTGTTTTACTGGTGTCCAACTGTTTGTGACCCCCTTTGGGATTTTCTTGGCAGAGATACTGGAGTGGTTTTTACCATTTCCCTCTCCAGTTCATTTTACAGATGAGGAAACTGAGGCAAACAAAGTTGAGTGACTTGCCCAGGGTCACACAGCTAGTAAGTGTTTAAGGCTGGATTTGAACTCAGGAAGATGAATCTTCCTGACTCCAGGCCCGGCCCTCTGTGCACTATGGCACCCCCTAACTGCCCCCCCCATTTACCCTTTACCTCCTTGATTCTCTGAGCTGCTAGGGCTCAGTATGTTTTGTTATGTTGTATTATGTTATGTTGTATGTATTTTATAAATACTTCCATGTGCACATTTTATCTCTCCTGATAGAATATAAGATCCATAGGGCAAATATTATTTCATTTTTATCTTTATGTTCCTGGAATCTAGTGCAGGGCCTTCCGTTCAGACTTTAAAAGTGCTTATTGATTGGTTGATTACGGCAGCTGAAGTAGGGTAGAAGAGGACAATGGAACTGGAAAAGCTGAGGAAATGTGTGGTCAGGTTGCTATAGAGGTATTCAATAGGAAATGTCTTAGACTTCCCCAAGTTAATTCTGAAACTGCTTTATCAAGGTGTCTGGACCTCATGTCCTGTAGCCAGTTCTGTGAAAGCAGAGGCAGAGACAAGTATGTAAACACAAGGAAATCTGGCCACTGTGTCAAAGTACTGTGTATCAGCCCTTGTTTCTTGACTGCGGCTCTTGGAAGGCTGCCTGGCATACTGGGCATGGAGAGAATTGAGGGTTTCAAGGCAAATGTCTATTGGTGAAGGAATAGGACTGGAAGTGAACAGGAAAGAGGAGAAAGTCTAACCCCAAGCTCTTCTATCCAATTAACACGTGCATCTTTTTTTTTCTTTCTTTTTGGTGAGGCAGTCGGGGTTAAGTGACTTGCCCAGGGTCACACAGCTAGTAAGTGTCAAGTGTCTGGTAACATGTGCAACCTCCAGGTCTCTGTTGCAAGTGGTCAGAGAGGTGGTGTTCAATACTTCACACACAAAACTTGGGAGAAGTCTTGGTGGGAGATCTACTCACGTCTCTTCATCTTATTCCCTTTTTATTTGTTTTCTCCTTTCCTTTACTTCTACTCTAGACGTGCCTGTGAATGGCACTGCTTGGGTGACCGATGAGACAGAGTACTCCCTGGATGTGGAATGGGAGAACCCGCCTGTGGAGGTGGATTATTACAAACTCAGGTATGGCACCTTAGAAGGGCAGGAGGTGAAGGAGGTGACCGTGCCCAAGAGCAATGACCCCAAGAGCAGATATGACATCACAGGTAAGAGAAGTTTAAAATGCTGATGGAACTTTAACTCGGTGTGGGGCATGACGTCCAGCACAAAGGCTTAGGGAACTATGGGAGAAGAGAGAATTGGTATCTCTGAGGTTGAGTCTACTTCTGGGAAGCCTACTTCTCAGTAACTCAGGCACCTCACAGAGAGTACCAGGTACGCTTGAAATCTCATCCCCGAATTCCTTAGACATCATAAACTTCCTGACCAAGCTAGAACCTCTGGCTTTCAGATCCGGCCCCAATATTCTACTAATGACTACCTTCTCTCATATCTGCCTGTTTACAAGGTTTCAGTGGGAGATGTAGTCTGAGATGATCTAATCCTGGCTCTGCTGCTTACTTCTGAAAATGGATCTGATTGCTGGCAAGGATTCCTTTCTCATGAGTGTGTGTGTGTGTGTGTGTGTGTGTGTGTGTGTGTGTCCATGTGTGCATATTTAATCTACTGAATCTGACTTCCCATCCCAAGAATTATTGACAGTTGAGCTGCCCTAGTGGCTGAGTAGCCATTGAAAGTCTTGGACTGAGAGGGAAAAACCCTTTCAGAAGGAGTGTTTTTCAATTATTAGACAGCCACTTGTGACCACAGATCAAATCAGGAAGCAAGCGTTGGTCCCTACTGGTTTTCTTCCCCCAAATGGAGAAAATCCAATTAGCTTTATTCTGTCATAAAAGTGACCTTACCCCTCTGACTGCACATCTTCTGAATGGCAGGCCACTAAATAAAGGAATTCTTTATGGACCACTCCTGACTGCACTAGGATCAGCTCTTAGATGTGTACTCAAAGGAAAAGCTTAGTATCATTTGCTACTGGTCCAGAGGAAACCTGGACAACCTCTGGGACTTCTGGCCCAGGAGTTAGGAGTGGGGCTACATTGAATGGAGCTGTTCTCAGTAATCCGTAATGCTACTCCTGCTGGTTCCTTTCTAGGTTTGCAGCCTGGGACTGATTACAAGATCACTGTGATACCCATGAGAGGTGGGCTGGAAGGCAAACCAATTTCCCTGAGTGGCAAAACTGGTAAGGGCTCCTTGGGAAGTGTTCTCAGATTTTAATTCTACCTCTCCTCACGATGTTTCTTTTGGCTATTTTCCCTTCTCTCTAGATAAAAATTCTAAGTCCTATGAGAAGTACGGAAAAATTAGTTTATGGGAAGACATTTTCCCTTTCTGGACAGACATCTATTTGGGTGGGTGGGTGGAGGGAGGCAGACTTAGTTTTTTTAGTGAAAAATTTCATGGTCACAGCAATCTCCTCAATGCTGAGGGTCTTGGAGAAAAAGGTTGTTTCTGATGGCTTGACTGCTTATTTGACCAGTTTTTGATCAATCGATCATCTCCAAGACTTTTGCCACCATGTAACATTGGTTCATTGTTGAATACCACTTGCAAAAAATTTGCTTGTTCCACACCAATAATACCTTCATCAAGGGTGGCCTGGATTTGGGTATAGATGATAATCATAAATATTTTGTATAGGTGGGAAAGTAGGCATGTAAGTTGGTAGTCACTTTCTCAGTCACCATTTTTTTGGTCTGAGATTTTTTTCCTCCTGTGTTTTTGGTATCTTCCTTTTCTTCAGATAACTTTGTATATCAATTCCTCAATGTCTTCACAGCTGTGCTGCCTCCATCAGATTTTCTGTACATATGTTAGGTCTATCCCAGTGGGTTTCACCATTTTTGTTCTCTTTAGTGTCATTTCTATCTCTGTTATAGACACATTTGAAACTGTGATGTTAGAATCCAAATGTAGTTACACTGTCCTTGATTGTGAGAAGTTTGTTAGAGTTATCTCTATAGATGTTTTCCATTTTTCATCTACTTTCTCCTCTGTTTATTTTAATATGCCTGAGATTCCTTTGCTTTGTAGAATGTCTTGTCAAGTTTCCTTTAAGCTGGTTTTACCCTCCACTGCTTCTCTATGCTTTATATGTGTATCCACCTACAATTGACTCAGATTCCTTATACCAGAAACTGACAGCAGGGAGGAGAGAGAAAGGTTGTTAGAAGAAGAATGAAGACAACACTGCAAAAGCTATCAGGCTCCATCTTGTTTATCCATTAACCAACGTATCATAGTTTAGGAGAACTGCTCTAAACATTTCATGTCAACTGAAGTTAAGTGGGAAAATATGGAAAGCAATGGGCCCTGGGCATGGAGGTTGGTACCATTATTGCTATCACTTTTATTTGTCATTTCCCACTCCCACGACTTCATTCAAGGCTCCTAATAATCTGGCTCCATCATGCCTTTCCATATTTATCTCCCATTGTTTCCCAATAGAGTTGGGCTGGTCTTTTCACTGTCCTTAGATATGACTTGTTCATTCTTGACTCTGTTTTTCCTTAAGTTGTTCCTCTGGCCTGGAAAGCTTTTTTATCCCAGTGTTATCCATCCTACAAAGCCTCGCTCACATTTTATTTACTCCATGAAGCTGCTCTAGCCCCACAGTGATCAGAGTTCTCTGGGTATTTATTAATGCCACACTGTCTTTTACTTCACTTTTCAAGCCCTGTTTTTGCGATGAAACTGTAAACTCCTCAAGCTGAGGGTCCGTGTCTTATTCATCTTTGTGCTCCCTATATTGCCTAGTGAAGGGCCTAGCTTCACTATTGCTTCACTAATATTTGTTCAGTTAACTTTTTGTTGAATCACAGAGCTGAAAGAAGCTAGATCTCAAAAGCATGGCAAAAAGAATTGGATTCAAAACAAACTGGGATTACATTTTTCATCTGCACAATTAAAAAAAAAGATGAAAGTGGATTTGAAAAGAAATCCACAAATTTAGTAGGATCATTAATTAATACTAATCCAATTCATTTTTCTTAATATGAAAAGTCAGTTTCTACAAACTTTTGTCTTCAGACTAGGAAGTAAAAATACTTGGAATTCAAGGGTAGCACATGCAAGAATGAGAGAGCAAATGGCACAGTTCAGGTATTTTTCTGTTTGAATTATTAGTTAAAGCAGGAGTATGAAAGGAAAGGGTTTGATTGATTGATCATTAGAAGACAATTTAGCATCTGCCTGTCGAAAAATGAGACCAACACTCAGAATCAGGCGAGTGCTCAAAGCAGCAAGTAAAAATGCAGACCAATATTCTGATTGGTGAAATTTCTTCCTCAGAGCCTTAGAGACAATCAATTTTTATTAATTGATACAATTTCTATGGCTTTTTCTTGAGGACTCACATATAGGCTGTTCACATTCATAAAATCTCTGACTAAAACCTCCCATAAAAACCACCACCAACTGCTCAGAAAAGCTGCCATTTTGAGTTCTTCAGAACTGAAATGTGATGGGAAAAAAATCAGTCCAAGACCACATTATTTTTCTTTTTAAACTTTTGGAATCGTTAAACATTTTCTTAGGGAGATACAATGATGTCATAGCTCCCCACTGCCAAATAAGAAGCTATAATTCTATCTTAATCTCTGATACATGCCAGAGACACCGCTTTGGTTCTCACAAGCCTGCCCTGGCTCCATCAGCAACTTAGATAGTATTGACAACTCTGGCTTTGGATAGACTTTAGAATACTTCAATCAGACCATATCGGCTCAGATTCAGTTTCAGGCAGATAATCCCTCTAGAGTGCCTTAATTCATAGTACCTAAAACATGTGCCTGAGTTTTCTGATAACTTAGTGTTAGGAAGGATATGAATTAATGAATGTGAATTAATTCACTGATGTGAATTAATGAACCCCTTGTCCCAATGACCTACCTGCATTATATCAGGATTTCAAATCTTTGTCCTTTCTTATACTTTCATGTAGGGAAGGAGGATGATAATGGCTTCAACATTAAATCTGTCCTATTCTATTTCTAACAAAAAATGGGCCATATTTCCTTATTTGGATGAGTCGGTGATTAGATGACATTATTTTTTCTTCTTGGCCTTCTATAAAGTCATCGATAAAAATGTACTCTTATCCTTGACCCTTACCTGCTATTTAAGTAGGCTACATCTTATACTAGAATCCCTCTAATTGAACAGACAGAGATGTAGTTAACCTTTGCTTTTTATTTGTGACCTCTGTAGGTCAGGGATTGGCAACTTTTCAGAGGTACCTGACAAGTTTCTATATATTCACTGAAAAGGCCTAAGGAATCTTTTAAAAGGGCTCTCTTTTGTAGTCCAAACATTTCAGAGAAGACATTATAGTTTAAGCCTTATTAGTTAATATCTTAATTACTACTTAGTACCTCAGAAAGGTTTAGTTCAAGTATCTTAAGTCAAGGAAGAATATAGGATAGCTACATAAGAGGTTACACGGTGACTTGGAGGGGCGCCAAGAAGGAAGTCTTATTTAGAACCTGCCTTAGCCATTTCCCATGGCCTCCTTTGATGTTATGTGCTATAGGTTGCCAAACCTTGGTTTAGGCTGAAGTAAAGCTAGTAAATGTATGAGGTCAAATTTGAACTCAGGTCTTCCTGACTACATTTCCAGGTTGAAGGAACTAAGACTATTTAGTATAGAGAAACGAAAACTTGACTATGTGAGAGAAGGTAGAAGGAATAGGAGAAAGGGGGCATGATAACAGCTTTCAATTATGTTGAGGACTGTTATATGGAAGAGGGATTCAACTTGCTTTACTTGGCCTCAGATAGCAAAACTAGTGGCAAGAGGTGGAGAAATTCTATGTTGGCAGGTTTAGGTTACATGTAAGAGTGCCACCTTATTATGTTTCATGTGATCTTTGGAGCATTGCAGTAGGGGCAGCAGTACAAAATGGCACTCATGCTGCCTCTTTAAGTCTATAGGAAGACAGTGTGAATGTTTTAATTATCTAGCAAGAGAGTGGAATAGGTGAGTTGTGCTACTAGGTGGCATTCACCTCAAGCCACCCACAGGTAACGTAGTAGATAGGAACTACACCCATAGACCTCACAGGCCCCAGCTCTTGATTGTATAAGCTAAACCTCCCAAAACAATGCAACATCTCCTTTGAAAAATCAGGGCACCCACCTTGCGAAGGCCTAGACTGCTCCCCTCACCATCACTGTCCTAGAAGTTAAGTTTCAGAATTTAGGTAGGAGTGACACGGAATATTGCTCAAAACATTTTAAGAAGTATGAACTTCATGGCTTTAGAGCCCCCAGTCTAAACCTGGACAGCTAGGTGGTGCAGTGGGTAGAGCACCAGGCATAGAGTCAGGAAGACTCATCTCCTTGAGTTCAAATCTGGCCTCAGACACTTATTAGCTGTGTGACCCTAGACAAGTCATGTCACCCCGTTTGCTTCAGTTTCCTCTTCTGTAAAATGAGCTGGAGAAGAAAATGGCAAACCATTCTAGTCTTTTTGCCAAGAAAACCCCAAATGGGGTCACAAAGAGTCAGACAACTGAAATGACTGGACAACAACACTCTAAACTTGGACTCTCCTGTCTGTGGTTACAACTGCCTTCATTCACAGGACTCAGATACTCAACAGCTTTTGACCACATATTATTAAACATAGAGAAAACAAAAGAAAAAGGTTGCATTCCCAGCTGGAGCTGTCTGCCTCTGGTCATCTCCCAAAACCTTCTGCTTTGTGCCCTCCAGTCCTTCAAGTGTGGCTGAGGAGTCTGAACCACATGAGCCTACAGATCATGGGAAGGGGAAGGTGTGTGTAGAGAACCCCAGTGCCTGATGTTATAGCAAGGGAATGCAGGGAAAGGATGTTAAGAGAGAAAACAGCTTTTTCTCCCTGCTATGTTCACCAGCCAACACAATTCTCAGCAGGAGGCATGCAGAGAACATTTCACTGGGGTGAGCACCCAGGGAATATTTATTTATTTATTTATTTTTAAATAGATTTGACATTTTTTTTTCTTTTTTGGGTGAGGCAATCAAGGTTAAGTGATTTGCCCAGGGTCACACAGCTAGTAAGTGTCAAGTGTCTGAGGCTGGATTAGAACTCAGGTTCTCCTGATTCTAAGACTGGAGCTCTATTCATTGTGCCACCTAGCTGCCCCAGGGAATTTTATGATTGAATACTCAATTATTAAGGACATTATTTTTTACTCAACCAACTAAGATTTAACTAAGCTTAATTTTAAAAATAACCAAACAACTTAAAAATATGTATTTTTGCAAAGGGACACTTTTAATCAAATCTTTCACCTGAAAAAACAGAATTATCTTTTCAGACTTATTTTCTTGGCTAAAAAAATTCCTTTTTTCAAATAAGTGTGCTCTCCTAGCCCCATATTTTGACATTAAAGGCTCATGTCAGAGTTTAAGGACTGGTGATCAGAGGTAAATCCTTCAAAAGGAAAAATGTTAACTTTTTTGCTTTTATTGCTCACCAACAAAAGGTTGGTCTGGCTCATACCAGCCAAAGTTCCAGGGCCATGCACTACAACAAAGGGTCTGGGGGAACCGAAGTGGGAAAGAAGTATCTATTGACTCAGCTGTAGTTGATGAGTCTCTGGGCAAGAACGAGGTTTCCTGGTAGTGGGAACCTCAAAGCTGATTTAATTTGCATTTCTCTAATTATTAGAATTTAGAGCATTTTTTCCATAAGGTTGTTGATAGCTTGAATTTTTCTTTGAAAACTGCCTTTTCATACTTTGACCATTTCTTTATTAGAGAATGCTCCCAATGGACTTTCTTTTGTCATTGTGAAGATACCAGTGGAAGACATATGTTGTCTATCAATTATCCTTCTTTCTCTTGTCTTCTTTTTCACTCATATATTTCTTTGACAGTATCCTTTACTCCTCTCCATAATTTTCTCTTCATAATGTCCTGCTGCCTACTCAGAGCCACCATTGTCTTCTAGTGATATATTAATTTTAAATTTTTCTGGGACTGTATTGTTCCATGTCTCCCACCCATACAACACTGGTAGAATTTATTGGTATTATAAAGATGAGCCTTTGTTTCAGGGAGAGATTTGGGGTCATTAAAAGAACAATCTAGCCTGCTCTGCTCCTGTTGAATTTTGGGCCCAGTTTATTTTTAATTAACCCCATTAGCTATCCCCAATAGTTATTATCTATTCAAGATAATAACAAGAATACAACTTAATCCTAGTTAATATTGTGTTTTATGAATACATATGTTTTTCATGCCATAGTCAAATAAAAACCTGTGTGCTATGGAGAGTTTACTCTCCAGATGGAGAGTTTATTCACCATAGCACATAGGTATTTATTTGGGGACATCAAGTACCAGGCATTATGGTGAAGACTCAAAGCTGATGGTGGGTAGTAACAGAGGGTACACTTTCCCAAAACAGCTGGGCACAGTTTTTCCAGCCTTATCCAGGGATAACAAGTGCTTTGTCCTAACTCAGTCTGGATGTATAATAGCAAAACAGTGCTCAAGACTCTGCAGACCATGTACTTCTATAGAATTACTGCTGCTTCAGATTTTCAATCAGGCTGAAGGAGGGCTCTGTAAGTAGGCCAGCTCTTCATACCATTTAAAAAAATCTATTGGCAACTGAGAGTACAAAGCTGTTACTGAATTCAGTTACCATGGTGGCCCAGCTGTCACAAGGCATACCAATAAGTGATTAGCTGGAGGACTCGATCAAGAAAGTCAGATTTTTCTTTCATTTGACTTTTGGTCAGTAAACTTAGGCCTTTACTAATCACAGTGCTGCCCTAGTTTGCTCTAGGGAGCTAGGGCCCGAGTTTGTATTTTTTTGCCTTTGGGTGTGATGGAACAATTATTCTTAGGATCCATCTTTACCTCCAATGACAAGAATGAGTAAAAAGACATTCCTCGGTGGCAGCCAGCTTGCAAACTTCCAAGCTATCTTCCTTACTGCTTCCTATTTTTTGGGCAAAGAGAATGGATGATGAAAGCAAAGTTGATGTTACATAGGCTTTTCAGGCAGTTCTTGTGTTAGAGGAGGAGTTGACTCATGTTGGTTGGCATTTTCTATTTTTCAATAAATTCAAAATAAGTTAGTGGTAGAACCATCTTGACAATTTCCTTGGGGGTCAGAATTTAAATTTTCAGCCACTGAGTTACTATTCTTTGAACTGAAGGTAGGAAACAAACGGAAAACAAGTAGCCCAGGGGTGAGGCAAGTGGCTGAGTTTCTTTAAGATATAATGAAATGTAACTGAAATCTGTGGGGGGAAAGTTATCAGTTTTGTTATGGGAACACAGGAAATAGCTAGATGGTAGCATCCCCAATGGCTACCCCTATAACCCAGAATTATAGATTGGGTCCTTCGGTAAACTACTTTCCCAGGTCCATGGTACTCTTTGAGTCAGAACACATAAACATATAGTTCATGAGTCTCCAACTGTGTTTACTTTTTGCTAGTCAGATAAAGGAAACAATTAACTCAAAGCAAAAGGCATTACTGAAATGACATAGTAAGAAAAGTAACAACAAAACCTGTCCCCATAAACCTGGGATACACTCTCCCACATGGACACACAGTTAATGGGAAGAGTAGATATCCAAAGAATTTACAAGTGGAGAAGAGCACTAATAGGAACCCATGTGGACAAGGGCAACTTTCCCCTTCAGTGCTACTCTCTTCCCCCCCAGTGACATTATGTGATATCATCAGACTGCACCTTATGGCATGTGATGCATCTTCTAGGCCCCTGGAGCATAAGCTTTGGCGGAGCGCATGCCTTTAATGCTTGGCCATGGTTACTACTGTCTCCAGCTTTGGGCTCAGCTGAAACCTTGGCCTAAAATACTGCTATGCACTTTTAGAAAGAAACAGAATTTTAATTAGAGGCCTATAGTATCCTTTACTTCCACATTTATTTCCTAGTGGCCCAGCACAAGAAACTTTTCCCCCCTTGAATCCCTAATATTCCAAGATTAGCTCCATGCAATTTATCATTACCTAACAGAAAAAGGTTGAAAGATAAATTATGGGATGAGCACGTTAACTCAGGCCTTCTTGCCTAGGAGAATATGCTGCTTGGCATTACCATTGTCAATATGTAGACAGTCCAATCTTTCACTATGAGAATCTTGGGATACATCCCTTTGTAATGTCACAAGTCTTTCTTAACGTGTCTGTTACTTAAATTCAGAATTTTATAAATTGGATTTCCTTCCAGGCAAGTCCCTTAAACTCTCAACTCTCTAGGCAATTCTTTAAGAATATGTTTCAGTGAAGATGTTGACCTGTTTTGGCTGAGGGAGTTTCTCACCAAGGAGTTCCATATACCAGTGAAATTACATGTCTAGTCCCCGTCCCTATCCCTTGAAGAAGCAGGATGTCTTCCTGTATTAAAATGAAAGCTTTAAATCTAAAGGTTGGTCTCACATGTCTGAACCTTTGGGTTTTTTTCACTCACTAGACTGATCAGAGGCTGGCTCCAGCTTAAGTCTGTGGTTTCAAATGGTGGGCGGCTATCTCTTTAATGTGTGGAGGAGGTCAGAGCAGAAGGATATGGGGGAGAAATCTGTCTAGCAGCTCCTACGGCTGTTACTCATCTCCGACTTGGCCAGGAATCCATAGCTACTCAAAGAGTATCCAGCATTTGGATCTGGAATGGAAAATTTGCTTAATCATACCCACAGCTTTTTGATATAATGCTGGATGGTTTTAGAGTTGCTGAGCTTGCCTCTTCTGGCAATGACCTTCCTCCTTGAAGATTCTGTCATGGAAATACCCTAAATTATCCACCTTTCCACATCTATTTATTGCCAGACGCTTATTTCTGGGTATTGGGGAAGTGGAAGCCAAGTAGAGACAGCTCTTATCAGTAGCCATCTTTAGATTAGAGAGAGGAGGAAAGAAGAGGGAGAAGGAGTATGTTTTCCTTTTCATTCATACCAGCTCAGATAGTATTCCCTTCTTTCTTTTTATCCCTTTCACCCTGTGGTTGGATACCTGAAACATATAGGTAGCTTCTCTATTAAATATAGTTTCTGCAGTCATGGGGGATGTGACCTACATCCCATCTTGGAATGGAGTGTTGTGGTTTGGGAAAGAGGTTCAGCAAAGGTCAGAGAACTTTTCCTTCAGTGAAGGGCACCCCACTCTAGCAAATCAAGGGTCCTCTGATCATCTCTGATATGTACTGTAAAAGATGTCAGAGATACCATCCTTTTGAATGTAGTTGTGGAGGCTTCACCGAGTATAGCCACAGATTCTCTGGAGGTTGCCCTTGGAGGTTCCCCCAGAGTTTTCTTGGGGCTCTCCATCACAGTATGAGTAGTCAGTGCAGCACATTTTTTAGGCCATTGGATCCCTAGAAGAGGCCCACTTAGATAGCCCTTTAAAATTTGCAGAGTTCTCCATGTATTTTCTCATTTAATCCTTACAACAACCCTGCAGGTTAGGTATTGTAATTATTCCCTTTTTTCAGATGAAGAAACTGAGGCCGGGAAAGACGAGGTCACATGCCCAAGATCACATAGCTGCTAAGTCTGAGGCAAGATTTGAACTCAGGCCTTCCTGACTTGAAGTCTTATACTGTATTCACAGTGCCACTTAGCTGCCTTTGGCACCTGTCTGGGTATGGGACAGTGTGAGGTACCTTGCAAAAGGAATGAAACAAATGGGAGAAACGGGAAGCATACACAAGCCTCCTGCAAGTTTTCAAATAAGGACAGAAATGTTAAGACAAGGAATATTTTGGTGCTAGCTCTCCTCACCCACAGCCCCAAAGGATGCCTCTAGTGCTAACTTTCCTCATTCGGGTGTTGTTTTTTTTTTAAGGAATTGACAGTCCCACCAATGTGGTGACTGATCGAGTGACAGAGGATACGGCCACTGTCTCCTGGGATCCTGTCCAGGCTGTCATCGATAGATACGTGGTACGCTATACCTCCACCGAAGGAGATGTCAAGATGACACCGGTGGGGAAGGATAAGAGCAGCACCGTTCTGACGGGCTTGAATCCGGGCATGGAGTATACTGTCCATGTGTGGGCTGAGAAGGGGAGCCAAGAGAGTAAGAAAGCCAACACCAAGGCCTTAACAGGTAACAACAGTAGTTGACATGTATATGACGGCTTTTACGGTCCTTGTTTCATTCCATCCTTACAATAATCTTATGAGGTACAGGCATTTTTTAGGCCCACTTTATAGATGAAGGAACAGGCCTGGAGAAGTTAAGTTATGTGCCCACAGTTACACAGTTTTGGAAGTGGTGTTGAATCCCATGGTTCAAGATTTCACATTTAGAGAACTGCATTATACTGACTCTCTCAAAGAGAGAAGGAAAATAAAAACTGAGAAGCTCCCTCAGGGAGAAGGGTGATGTTGCATCAGGAGACTGGTGCTCAGTTTTGACAGCTGGAGTGTCAAAATATTCAGAGAAACAAACGTGATTTCTTTTCATAATTGAATTTTGCCTTTTTATCCTCAAATAAGCGTTAGCACATACGTAGTTGTTTTTTTTCCCCATCCATATTGTAGGTCACACTTAATTGGACTGTGAGTTCATGCAGCATTTTCCTAGAATTAGCTGACACTTTCTAATTTTATTTCTGGACATGAATGCTTGAAACATTTGGCTGACAAAAGAGTTGAAAGCTTATCGTGGTTTGCAGTGACTGGTGGGTACTGTGCATATAATGTAGGCCTTTTTTAGAGAATAAGGGGGTGGTTGGCATTCCAGTGTGACAGAAACAAATGTACTGAATATGCCTTTAAACTTTCATAAATCCTACATGCTTACATCCTTCCTATAGACATTTAGTCAACAGTGAGGCCCACGGACACCACAGGACTTCACTCTGGAGCAGCAATGTAATTCTTTCTCTGTTCAATCCTCCACCCTGGTTGGCGCCATCTATTAATCCAGGGCAGCCTGCTTAGGGAGACCACCTATGTTTCCAAAGAAAAAAGAAATGGTCTTCTTGACAGGTGGTTGCTGAAAACAGATTCATTTGTAGTTAATGCACTTCTCTCTGTGATCAACATAAATTGTAAGCTCAGTGTTTGATTTTGAATAGGATTTGACATTTGGCACGAGAAACAATATTTCAAGTGCTATATGGCTACCATTTGGGCAAATCCCATGCTTCAGAGAAGTCTTTTGCTATGGACTGGCCTCGTCCTCCTTTTTGACTGATCTGCATCTTTTTGATGTTCTGGGGTTCTATCCAAGGCTCCGCTCAAGTGTCTCAGGCCTTTTCTGATCACCTCCAATTTGTTTTTGGTTCCCCTTCTCCAAATATTTGATTAAAATTATCTTCATATTTCCTAGCAATTAATAGTAAACAACTGCCCTAGTCTAGGCAAATTAATTTTGTAGAGGCTCATAACCAAATGGTTAGCCAACAGGCAATGAGTTGTTTAGCCACAGAAACTCACTAAGACTGCGTGCTAAGGTCTGGAGGGGTTGCAATCTGTACTGGTGGCAGGATTACCCATGCTAGTAAAATTATGAATCATTAAATTAAAATGTCTTTGAAGTTCAAAGAACAGGAATGAAAATAGTATATAACATGAAAATAAGGAGTAGAGGAAACTGGGGATTGATTGAAACTTTTTAAGAAGACTATTTGAGGACAGAGTTCTAGTAGTTAAAAATGGAATGTTAACTTTATCTAAAAGACCTACTTCTGATTATAGGATATTAACTCCCACTTGGAATTTTAGACCACTGGGTTAAAGCCTTAAGCCACCACAACTCTTGGCATGTAATTAAGGCAAATATATCCTGGGTTTTTCTGGGATGGTCCTTGTTTTATGAAAAGAAAGTACTTCTAATGAGGTTTTGAAAAAAAACACGTCTTGGTTTTTGTGAGACTATCTTTTGTCTGGCCACGTGTCCCAATTTTAGGTTGGGAAAATGCAGTCACTCTGTAGCAAAATGGACTTAGACATTTTTTTTTTGGTCAGATAATCCTTATTTGTGTATACGCTGGCCTTTCAGAATTATAAACGTTAAACTTCTCTTCCTGGATATTTATCTTAAAGAAATTGACAGTCCAACCAATCTGGTAACTGATCGTGTAACTGAGGATACAGCCACCATCTCCTGGGACCCAGTTCAGGCCGACATAGATAGGTACCTGGTGAGCTATACCTCTGCTGATGGAGAGACCATGGAGATACCAGTGGGGAAGGAAAAGACCTCCACCATCCTGACAGGCCTGAGGCCAGGCATGGATTATACTGTCTACGTCTGGGCTGAGAAGGGGAACCAAGAAAGCAAGAAAGCCAACACCAATGCCCCAACAGGTACGGAAGGAAGTGTTACCATTGCTAGCTCACATTAGGTAACACTTTTCTGTCCATGGTGTGCTCAAAAAAATTTTTTTTTACAAAGCTGTAGCTAATGAGTATTATTATCCCAATTTAAAAACAAGCAAGTCGAGCCCAAGAGGTGAAATAATTTGTCCAGGATCACAAAACTATTAAGTGGCAGAAATATTTTATGCCCATGTTCTCTAAGTGCAAATCCAGTGGTTTTTTCACTACACTTGTCAATGGGAACAAATGCTCCTTGCCCCCACCATTTTCTCATTGACAGGTGGCCACCTGGTGGCCAATTTTAAGATTATTGCTGTTTGGTATCTGTGATAGCAAGTTGGAATAATTTACTATTTAAAAGTATTAAAGATCTGAGAAAAACAGTAGGATGGCAACATGTACTGGCTACACTGTTATGTTCAAATGGCCTCAAAGTCTGTTTATATGAATGGATGATATTTTGCATTAGTAATCTCCCTTTAGGAGACTTGTTAAACTTTACTAAGGTTTCCTTATTGAGACACTCGTATATTGTCTCTAGGATCCTTATGAAAAGAAAGTAACGATCTCCACAAAAAAGAAGTCCTACATAAAATTCAATCAATAAGTCAATTAGTAAGCATTTATTAAGCACCTATTATATGCCAAGTTCTGGCCTCAGACACTTACTAGCTGTGTGACCCTGGGCAAGTCATTTAACCCTATTTGCCTTGGTTTCCTTATCTGTAAAATGAATTAGGAGAGGGAAATGGAAAACCACTCCAGTACTTTTGCCAAGAAAACCCCAAAAGGAGTCACAAAGAGTTGGGCACAACTGAAAAATGTACCATGCAGTGTGCTAGGGTCTGGGGATACAAATACAATGAATGAAATAATCTCTCTTCTCAAGGAACTTACATTCTAATGGAGGAGACATTAATTCCACATGAGTAAATGCATAATAAACATAAAGAGAATAAATAGAAGTGAATACAAGATAGTTAAATATAAGGTAGTTTTGGGAGGGAGAGCAGTAGTAGTTAATTGAGGGAGTGAGTCAAGAAAAGCTTCATGTAGAAGGTGGTGCTATTTGCCTCAGCTTTCTCATCTGTAAAATGGGGATAATAATAACACCTGCCTTCCGGCTTGGTTGTGAGGAACAAATGAGACAATAATTATAAAGCACAGTGCTTGGCCCATAGTAAGCGCCATATAAATATTAGCTATTATTATTGTCTTGAAGAGAGAGAGGAATTCCATGAGGTAGAGGTAAGAAGGGAGTATATATCAGACATGGAGACAGAAGACAGAAGGAACCATGTCTGGTAAGTGGTTAGATTGTAGGATGTGGGAGGAGGCATGGTGTCCAAAGAGACTGAACACAGAGGTCGGGGTTATTAAGGTCTTTAAATAAGAAATATGTGCCCTGGATGGTGTAGGAGAGATCCATTTAACCAGTGGTTTTGCTGATCAAAAGATTACTCTGGAGAAACTATTCTGCTCGTGATTTGGGGAGCTATAAATCCAGGAAGTGCCCATCTGTTCTCTTAGTTCTGTTTTCCATTCCCAATCCAAGAAAGCAATAACATTATCGACTGAAGAGTGCTTTGATGATAAGGTCCCTTCCAGCTCTCATGTCCTATGATTCTTAAGTCCTTTATTTCTGGAAACTTGCTATCTCTACCCTATACTCATAAGACTGGATTGGTGCCAATGGATAATTTGGTGCCAATGTTTATCATTCTCCAAACTTTT